CAGCTGCTCCTGGGTTCAAAGGATGCTAAGTGAAGAGACAGGAGCTCTTGCCTGTCACCCCTAGACCCAAGCCGGCTTTACCTGTCACCCAGCACACTGTGACCACCCCAAGGAGTGTCTGGCTGCCGGTCACATGTTCAGGTGCTGTCCATTAAAGTTTTGAGTAACAGGAGCATTATTCATCCTCTGCGTTTGCTGGTGGATGTTGGCAGATAATAGCAGTGTGCTAAGGTGTTAAAACTACAACAGCACAGAAAACAGGAGCTGCCTGTGGCAAGGTAACGTTTTAGAGCGGCATCATCCACGGCTGCAGGAGCATCAGGACCTGGGCTGCCGGCACTGAGCTTGCACCACCGCCCACAGACAGCCCGTCGCCCTCTCCGATGCTCATCCCTACTCTGCACTGAGTGGATGAGTTTTTAAACACTGATCACGAGAGCCGACCCCACTGCACTGGCCAGGCTGGACCGAGCACCCACGAGGCCAGTGCTGCTCAGATGTGCTCGGCCAAGGCTCCGAGCCAACCGCTCACTATCTCCAGCCAGCAAGAGCTCATCTGCTGAAGCCACCACAAATGGTTCCAGCACAGTTCACCAGTACTTACGGAACCACACAAACTGCTCAGGAGAAGCTGTTCCAGCTCCATTTGAAAAGACAGGGGCAGGATCTGGTCTTTCAGTCTTGCAGAACTGCTCTGGAGCTGGACTTTGTCCTGTGGAGCTGTCATGTAAACACAACAGGAACCCACTTCACATCAGTTTTCAGAAGTGCTGTGGAAGTGTAACACAAAATCCTTTACAGCAATTTTTTTCTTGTCATACTGAGCGTTTCACATGGCCTGTGAGAGTCCAGCCAGAACAGCTGCATTTTGGCAGGTGGTTAAACAAACCTTATTAACTCATTGGAGAGATTTCTACCATCGCAGTAAACTCCAACAGCCGGGCTGGGGCTCCCTGCGATTCCAGCGCTCCCCGCGCTCATGCTCCCACGCTGGCACGTGCTCACACGCAGAAACCTCCTCCCATCCCTCTTGTCTATTGTGTATCTCTCAGATGTGTTTATTTATACGCTTTTGTGTGGTCTAGTATCCTAAGAGAAACAAATGCATGGAACTGCTATAAATAAACACCTTGCTGAGTTATTTTAGTCCTTATAGCATGTTTCCATTTTTATCTTGCAGACAAAGTTAACACAAAGTTAAGGCACAGTTTTAAAAGCAGTTACAGTAGTTCAAAGACTCTGTTGCTGGTTCAGGAGACTGCGAAAAGCTCCTCTAACACAAATAGGCAAGTAGACAAAGAAACAGAAGAGCTCTAATACCTGACCTCAGCTTCCAGGGGTTTTGCTACTTCAAAACAAAAATCAAGAGGCTCCATCATCCAGAGCCAGGAGCCTTGGGTTGTACAGAAAAATCAGAGTTTTTCTCTGACACACAGATTCACAGTGCCTGGGAAAAAGCTTTATACAGTAAATTTCCAAGGGAAGCTCCCAATGCACCAGCCCAGCACCTGCTCCGGGCACTGGGCCTCACAGGCCCCCTCCACACAAACACCCTTTGTCACAGACCACCTGGCTGCTGTCCCCAGGGCTACCAAGAAGATGGAGACTCCCTTTTTACGAGGAGTCACACAGATAAGACAAGGGGTAATGGGTACAAGTTGCTCACGGAGAGACTCTGATTGGACTCCAGAGGAAAATTTTTCACTATGAGAGCAATCAGACACCAGAGTGGTCTTCCAAGAGAAGCGGTGAATTCCCCAACCTCAGACAGTTTTAAGGCTGAGCCTGACAGGGTGCCTGGGCCATCTCATTTAAACTGTATTTCTTTACCTTAAAGGCTTGGACTAGATGATCCTTGAGCTCCCTTCCAACCTAGGATTCTATGATTCACCTTCAAGTACCTGGTGTGGCTCCTAAATATGGCTGAATCGGCAGAATCTGGGGAAATTCATAGTAAGTTCTGTAATGAGAGACGTTTTCAGACTGCTCAGAGAGCACTTAGAAAGGAGTTAGGGTGGAAAAACCCAACACACCCAAACCCCCCTAAATGAATCTCAACAGATTTCTTCTGACATTTCCCAGTCCACACATTAAGACAAAAGACAGAAAACATCTCCCTTTCTTTTCAATGACTAAGAAAATCCTCCAGAAAAAAAACAAATTCAAGTCCCTTTTAGACCACACTTATGTGCAGCCAAGTGATGGATTTAAAAGGTTACTACTGGAATATGGCTCACAGCAGTCTACTGCAGTGAATAAATATCACGTTTACATATCCATTAAAACAAAACTATGTTGCACTTTTATTACTTCATGTTGGTTTGCCATCTGGAAGCTAAACGATCTGTGTAGTAAAAAAAAATAAATTCCATTTTGCATTTACCAAAAGGAGCCATACAAGTCTCAATTTATAGCAGGGGATCACACAACCTTAGTGGGCAGAACTCTGCCCGTGGCGCTGGAGCCGTGCCCACATGAGAGGACAGCTCGCTCAGCCTTGAGGGCTTCGCTGCGCCGGCAGCCCCCGAGAGAAGAGATCTCATCCAGCGGCATCGGGCCAGAGACCAGCCTGAAAATCACAGAACGTTGGGAGTTGGAAGGGACCTCTGGAGATCACCCAGTGCAACCCCTTCCCAGAGCAGGGTCACCCAGAGCAGGTCCCACAGGAACGCGTCCAGGCGGGTTTGAAAGTCCCCAGAGGATACTCCACACCCTCTCTGTGCCAGGGCTCTGGCACCCTCACAGGGAAACAGTTTCTCCCTAAGAGCCTGGCTCCATCCCCCTGACACTCTCCCTTAACATATTGATAAACATTTATGAGGTCACCCCTCAGTCCCCTCTTCTCCAAGCTGCAGAGCCCCAGCTCTTTCAGCCTTTCCTCATCAGGGAGATGTTCCACTCCCTGCATCATCCCTGTGGCTGTGCTGGACTCTCTCCAGCAGTTCCCTGTCCTTCAACTGAGAGGCCCAGAACTGGACACAATATTCCAGATGTAGCCCCACCAGGGCAGAGCAGAGGGGGAGGAGAACCTCTCTTAACCTACTAGCCACATGTCCGTGAGCAACTGCCCGCTGGCCCCTGAAGAGCCAAGCGCAGCTCAGTGCGGCACAGCTCAGTTCGTGCTGTGTCGGCTTTGCTTTATAGACACAGAAACACCCTGAAGAAAGGGCATTTCCTTGCTCTGAACCCCACGACCACTGCTGGAGAGAAGGGCTGGGCTCTGCAGCACCTCTGTGGACTAAACCATCACTGGAAACCACTTCCCACATCCCCAACACGCACCCAGCATGCACCCCAGCACTCGGGGCGGCAGCAGCTCCTGCTCCAGCTGCCCCTGTCCCTCTGCCCTCCCCCGGCCACGCAGCAGCCCCTGCGGTCAGGGCATGCCCTGAGGCTCCCACACCACAGGATGGGCAGCAAACCCAGAGCCAGGGCAGCAAACCCAGAGCCAGCTCCCTCGCCAGCAACAGCCCATGTCACACATGACAAGCGCAGAAGAAGGTGTCCGCACAGCTGTGAGCCTGGTACACTAACGCAGGCAGTCACGGCAACACAGAACATCATCTTCCTCATCTAGATAACAGCAGGTTCCCACTAGGCATGTGCTGAAATCCTCAAACGGCAAGAAATCTGAACCAGTCCTTGCCTCCCCGGATTGCTACTCACGTTCAAGCACAGGTCTGAGCTCTCCACCACTCATCACCATCCTGAGGACTTCCAGCCTTCTCATACAGCCTGATAAAACTAAATGCCAGCTCACTGGCAAACTGCAAATACTAATACCTAAGACAAGAGACAGAGCATTTTATGATCAAATTTATTTAATTAAATTTCATTGACTGTTTTACCGTAGGTCACACCAGAGACTGCCAAAGTAAACTAAACATTTTACATTCACTACAAGATGCTCTCAAATTTTCACAACTAGTCCAAAAAACATGAAAGCCGTAGGGTCCCTTTCCCTCAGTGTGTGTCACAACTCACGCTCGCGCAGTGGGACGCGTGTTCCAGCATGGAAGAGAGAAGCAAGCCCTTGAGTTCCCGGGCGCGCAGCAGCCTCCTGGCTGCCGGCGTGCCCGAAATCGTACGCGTGCGTGTACGTGCACACATCTCCACGTGTATTTACACAAACCAACCTCCTGATGGTACAGAGGACAAATAACCATTTAACTGCTAATCCAGAAAGGAAAGAAAAAAAAAATTAGTTTTGCAGCAGGGAGGTCAGAGGGTGCAGTGACGGGGGAGGCCCCGATGCCCAGCTCGGTCGGCAGCCCCAGCCCGCCCTGCAAGCTCCAGAACGGTTTGTCACTGCCCGCACTGGAAATCAGATCACTCCTTTTTTAGCAAAGTAGGTCCAAAATGGTTCCAAAATACTTGGATGGATGTCAGAGTAAGAAGATGGAAGCTTAAGCAAGGCTCGCCCCACCGAGGATTCTGGAGATGCTGGGAGGAAACCAGGCATTAATAGAACTTTAACTAGTGTTTTTAAAATAATTTGTTTCTGATCTAGCAAGCATTTTGACAATATATATCTATGATAGGTTCTGAATGTTTCCTTAAAAAACACTGGAGAGATTTTTCCCTATTTGAGAGCTATCTACAGGTCTTTATTATACCATCCTTTCTTTTACGTGTCTACTCCTAACAAACATCAGAGAAATACGTCAGATCCTACAATTTAAACTTTCATCATACCTGAAAGTATACATCTCTTTTACAGTGTATTTTCAACATGAAAAGAGCTAAAATCACAATTATATTCCATTGCGTAATGTGTGTGAAATCAAGACCATTTGCATAGCTTCCAAAGCGAAACCCCGTAGAACAGCGATTTCACTAACCGGAAGGATTTACCTCAGAGAGGGGCCATCGTCCCCTTCCCTTCCACGGCATGGCCTGAAATATACTCGAAATATTCGACAAGTATTGTCAGTATTCTTGTCTAAAAAGCCAGCTTCTGAAAAAATTCAAGTTGCAATTATTTTATAAATCACAAGCCATTTTTCCTTAATCTTGCCAATTTTAATGAAGAAAAAACATTAGCATTTCAATGTACAAAAGTCCAGTAAAACATGATTTCTTTTCTTTTAAATCAGTGAATGGGTCAAGTTTGGGTTAAACTTATTCGACAGCAGAAGTCTTCCAATTTCCACTAATAGAAATTATTTTTCTGATTTGACTATAGGATAATGACAATCCAGAAATAAATAGCTATAAATACATTCATTGTTCCTATTCCAAAAATAATCACGTAGGGAAGACACAAAACTGAAATCAACTTATTCGAATCCGTTTCTTTACAACGAGCTATGGGCAAGTTAGAGCCGAGTGACTCAACACGGGGTAAAAAAAAAACAAGTAGGGGATAAATTGGTCCAGTATCAACATTCATGAAACATACCAGTTAGTATAATTCTGCAGTTAATTCATCCTTTAAATGACACTATTCGGTTGATTTTTATTTGCTTCAGGTATACATAATGAAAGCGGTTTCCTTGGGATCTCTGCTGAGGACAGGTGTAGCACCCTGGAGACACTGTAGCAACCCCCTTCAGTATGCATGTGCGTATATAGAATTATATACAAATAATCATGCATCCACACACACGTTTGTATAGCGACACTGCGGGTGACGGCTCAGTCCATCATCATTCGTCATTGGCAGCACTTGTTCCTCTGACTTGGCCTTGGTTACGTAACTGTGGAGACAGAAGACACACGCTTAGGCGTTACAGCTGCCTCGGCAAGAGGTTCCAAGCCGGCGCTTCTATCGGCCTCCAGCACAGACAGGGCAGGGCAGCCAGAACCTCACCAGGGTGACACAAACCCCACCGAAGCTCTCGGGGAGCCCTGCCCTGGGCGCTGCCCCAAGTGGTGGGCAGCAGCTCCGGCTCCGAAGAGCCTATCGCACGGGGGCGGGCTTTTTTTTTCCCGCGGGGCCCGCCAGCAGCGTCCGAGCCGCCCCAGGGAACCCAGCACGGGAGGGCTGGACCCAAGCACTGCGCAGAGTTGGCACAACCCGGGGACAACCTGCTCCCCAACACGTTTTAGTGTTTGTAAACGTCCGTGGATTTCAAGAACTTGTGCTTTGAAGGTGACCGTCCACAATTTCCCTAAATTACGAGGGCGAAGGCCACACATCACTTTGCTGCTGCGTGGGCAGCAAAACGGCGCTCGCTGACGTTTCTGAACTGTGCCCAAAGACTACCTGCAGGCTTCAGAGCTCAGTGCCAGCACAGGGATCTCAGCGGGTCACACACTTCAGGTTTCTGTACTAGATAAGCACAAAGAACCAGGTTACGTGGCCAACGCCACGGGCGCTCTGCCCCCGGCCCGAGCACCCGCCCAGCCTGTCACAGCGCCCGCCTCTGGGGTCATCTCCTGCACCCTGGACACCGAGGGCCACCTCCCGCCAGCGACCACCGCGAGGTTATCAAGCAGGAGGGAGGAGAGGCCCAGAAGTGTTATCTGGACACACGTCCGCTTCTGCCAGCAATTCCCATCCACCAGAACATCAATCCCTTTTCTCCTTTTCCATCCAGCAGTTGACTTACACAGCTTGATTTGCCTCAGAACCTACAGAGACCTCCTCTAGACGTCAGCAGCCAAAGTGCCTCGAACGGAACCCTTCTTACGCATCTAAACGTAAAATAAGACTGTGAGCTACCGCACAAAGAACCTATCGCGCCATCGGTTAGTAAGAGAGAAGTAACGATCTATGCGGCCAGGACCAGCCCCAGCCCCAGCCGAGGTGTCGTGGAGACGGGACATGCAGGATTTCTTTGGGGTGGGCAGCCTGGGAATAGTACAGCAGCTCTAAACAATGCTTCTTACATTTTTAATGGCCCATGATGCTTCAGCATGGAGCCACGCTGCTCAAAATCCCCTTTTTCCTACCCTCACAAAGACATGAGGTAGGTCGGTGACAAAGCTTTGGCAGCGTCGGGCGCTTTTCTACTCTGCGCTGATTATTTGCTGAGTGTTTAATGCAGCAGAGGAGCTCCTCATCTCCAGGAGTCAGGTACGTAAACCACTCAGTGAAAGAACAACAGTGAAAAAGGATGGGTTGGGATAGCAAAACTCTGGGGGAACACTGATGAGGACTCAGAGTAACAGAAAAGTAACAGAAACAGAGATCTTGACTATAAAAATCAAGTTCAGATGAAAAACAGGACCAACAGAAGAATCAAAACGTGCACAGAACCCAAGGAGAAAGATTAGCTCAAACGAGGAAGAAGAAAGGGTGACAATGAGAGAGGGAAGAGCGCCAGAGCGGTGTGTGTAAGAAAACCTAACACTGCCAGGCTCGCTCCAGAGCACCAGGAGCCGCCCTGGGCAGCGCTGCCAGCGAGCCGGCTGCTGCTCGGCAGGGATCGGAGCATGGAGAGGCTCGTGCCACACGAAGCACCTTGCCATGAAGTGCTCACCTCCCAGAGGTCCTGGCCATAAAACAAATGTTCTGTGGTATACCTGAGATTCGGTGAAAGCTACTGTTTGGCACAATGGGTGAAGTAGGTGAATATGAAACATAAAAACAAATTATGTGTGATAAAATCAGCACTCCCGTTTTATTTGGCAGGGACATTTTTGCCTTCAGGTTATTCTCCAGTAATGGACATCGTCACTTATGGGGGTTTGCAGACACCCCTATCGCAGCAATTGAGAAAAACCAAAATACTTTAATAGTAGGTCCCCACTCCTCTCACATTTCACAATGCACACAGAAAAGCTGTGTTAGTACAACTAGTCAACGCATTTCTCTTGTAAAAACTGACCTTTTCAACAAGTGATACACTTAAAGTTCCTCATACTAACGTCTTACACAACTAGTTATTTGAAATAAACTATTTGCATTGCTTTAAATAGCAAACAGTAAATAAATATGTCTGATATTTAAGAATGAAGATAAGTGTTACACCCAGAAACATGTGATCTGGGTTTTGCTTAAGGTAAGAATTAAAAAGTAGTACTTCTTTGCAAAAAAAAATAAATATGTGAAAGTTACTTACCCGCGAGAAACGTGAAACGGAACTTTCTCTACAGGGAGACAAACATCCACAGTGCAGAGACACAAAAGGAGATTCTCTCATGCACCCAGACATGTCAAGCGCAGCTCACTCTCCCCAGCACATCCCTGCACGCACCCCTCACACTGCCACTACCCCTCCTCAGAGAAAGCAGATGAGTCCGTTTTGCTTCAAGTACAGAACTAGGGGTGTACAAAAGAGAACCCTTCCGACAAACATCAGCTGTAGAGAGGAAAAGGGGCTACTCTTCCTCCTTCACAGCCACTGAGGAACAGGTGGCTCTAGGAATAGGTTCTGGCATAAAGCAGGGTTAAAGAAGAAATCCACGTGATTTGAGAGAACACCTGCCATAACCAAAAAAATGCAAATGCCACTGAGAGTGTGCACCGCTTGCGAGAGCAAGCGAACATCGTTCTTTTCCAAACCATATTCTGGGAACTGCCAAAGCAAACAAACCCTTCAGCTTATTTGAAAAGAAAGTTTGGTTTTGCCAGCTCAGAACATCCACCTATTAACACATGCAACAGTGAAGAAACACTTCTTCCAAATCCAGGAAACAGTTGTATGAGATGGTTCTGCAGATCACAAAGTCCAAGTGTGGAAAGCATGAAGGAGCTATAGCTAGTTTTGATACCAAAAGAAAAGATGTGCTAGGCACAAACCACAAAACACACTTCGGAGCCGCTGTTGCCAGCGGGTTTGAAGCACCAGGCAACCTGCTTACAGATGTCTGGCAGCTGAAATGAGTTAAACCATGCAAAAAAGCAAGTTACAGCTGAAGACACCTTGTGTCTTGAAAGAACCAAGACAAGGGAAGGAAAGGAACAAGTTGAACAGGTTTAGGGCATAAAGCAACTGGCAAAAAAGGAAGGAAACAGAATTGCAAATCCAAAGATGGCAAAGAACTTAAAAAACCATCAGGATTTAAAATGAGAAAGGTCCACGTCAAAGGGAAGACATTACAGAAGGCGGCTTCCTGTCTAGCCTGTGATGTTCCTCTACGTCTCCAAGGAAAGAGTAGAGAAAGTGCCCTGCAGATGAGCTTCCCTTTAGACAGCAGTCCAAAGACAGACCAGGCTATAGTATTTCATCCTCACAGCCACTAAGGTATGAAAACTGACATTCTCTGAAGCCCGTTAATGTTACTGACTTCCTTTTTGCAAGTGGAATCCTCAGTTTTGGTGTGCTAATCGGGATGAGTGGAACAGCTGTCGCACGACATGCAGAAGCTTGCCTGAAGACACGTTTGAAGAGAAAAAGTAATCAGATCTAATGATGATTAGAAATGAGACAAAGCACGACGTATGATGGAAAAGCAAGATGACAGCTCTGAATTCAAACTGACAAGTGGTAAAAGGCGCCGCATGGGAGTTTGCGCAATGGGCACGGTACCATCGACACAGGAGCGGGCAGGGCAGACGTTCTGGATCTAGTGACATCAGAATATTCACCTCAGCCACCTCCAGCTCGGCACAATGCAGTGTGCAGAAGACATTAGGGTTAGGGTTAGTGCCTGGGTCTGCCCAGGCAAGTCACCAAAGGGGCTGTAACACCCATCAGCGACTGCCCAAACACACAGAAGGACACGCGGACACAACGTAACTTGCATCAGCTCCCGAACAGGCAGATCCACAGGCAGACAGCACACAAGCATCAACCTGAATCGAGCGCTCTTACCGCTTCCAGCTCCTTCTGGGTTTCATCTTCCATCCTCCTAATGTCTTCCATAGTCAGATCAATCCACTTGTCAATCCAACAGAAGAGCTGGCGGTGAAAGTTGGTAAATATCCTTTTTTCTTGCTTTAAAAAGATAAACAAGCATTAGATAACAGGCTGACCTTTTGCCAAAGACCGGTGAAGTGACTGCCACCGCTCAATTTGAGAAGTTAAAATCTTTAGGTGCGGGCTGTTTCACACTGCTACAGGTTCAGCCCTCTCGCGTTCCTGGATCCAATTTAAAGTCATCTCATTTCTGGCTGTTAAAAACACACAAGAACAGTCAATTCCTAAAGCCAGAATGAAGCAAAGAGAGAAGTCCTTCTGACTCCAAAGATGGCATGTTTGCCACTTTTACCAAATCGGCATCCCAGCAGCACCTGACACGCAAAGTCAAAAGGTACAAAAACCTTGATAAATATTGAAGATAAGGATTCCACAGTCCTTTTATCAAAGTGCACATACGTGGGTTCTGAATCGATCACAGGACCCCTTCTACTGGAACTGCTTGGTTTCCCATCTCACACCCCCTGCCATCCCTAAAGCCCACTGTGTTACGCTGAAGAACTCAGCCTGCCAGCTCAGGCCAGCTCAGCCTTTACAATCATGCCTTGGATGATGAAAAACACATCACATAAACCACTCGGTTTGTACAATTACCAGAATTGCTTCCACCTGCTCTGATAAAAGCAGTCACATACATACAATGCAGAAACCTATTTTACTACTAAAATTCAGACTTCTGCCTGCATTCAGCTGCGTGGGTTGACACCAGAAGCTCACGTCTTGTGCATCCGCTCCCAGATTTTGCACCACTTAAGCTGCCGACTGTCCTCAAAACCAACACTGATCTAGCAGAGATTGACAAAACACCACAATTGCTAACTAAATTCTAGCGTACTGGATTCTGTGTCATACCTGGTTTTGTAAGCACTCAATTAAAGAACTCCAAATAGTACAGAATTAGCAGAAACACAAGACCAGTTTCATAAGAAAACTAGAACAGAAAATACTAGAGAAACACCAGCACGTTTTATGCAACTTTCAACTTCTGAGAAACAAAACAATCGCAGAACTCCCTGCCAAGCGCTGCTGTTTACAAAGCCAAGTGTTAAACCTACACTACACAGACTCTTTGCTTACATCTTTGCTTTTTCAACTTAGAAAGCTGTTTCAGTACCGCCAGCGGAACACCACAGCTGGTAGGTCAACAGACAGATGGTTGTGCTTGCTGAAGAAATCAGCACAAATCGCTCGACTGTGAGCAACAAGAAACTTCCCCGCTGGCTCCCTCCCAGCCCGGTCAGTGCAGCCCCAGCCTGCCCCCCTGCAGCCCCCTCCCCAGCAGCAGCCCAGCAAGGGGCAGGCACTTACCTTCTGTATAAAGTTTTCAACCTTGTTCTGCAGGCCCCACCATTTAAATTTGATCGTCACCAACTTGTAAGCACACATTTTAGGACACTCTTCATCAGTTGCTAGCTCCTTCTGTTTATGGATAATGGGAAGGATTTTTTTTTTTAAATGTACCACAGCCATTTTAATATAATTATTAGAAATTGTAATTCTAAATATTGCACTAGAATTATAAAACGCATCATTAATTTACAATGGATTAATGAAATTACTACTATTATAACTCTGCTTACAAATCTAAGCGTTAGTCAACACTTAGCACCGTACTTTGAACATAAGGTAAAAGGGATTAAAATCCATCAGGTTAAATTTGTAAGACAATTCCATCAACGCTGCAAACATCACTATAAATCTTTGTCTTAACATGGATTCATTTGCATGATCTCCACTGCAATATGCTTTTGATGTTTTGAAAGGATAATGAATCTCGATTACAACAGCTAGCACCAAATAATTTTTGACTTTTGGGTGTACTGCGCAAAGGCAATTACAATCCAAGTTGCACCAAACCGCTCAGTCCAACAATAGAAATCTTTCCTGTACGTACTAGAGAAGATTCCGAAACAAAAAGCACATCAGCACCCCTCCAGTTTGCTCCCCACAAAAGCTCAGAGCTCGAGTGCGGTGCTGCTGTGCTCTGCGGGCAGG